GTTTTGGGTGTGTATATATTTGTATATATGTGTGTTTGCATATATATATTATGTGGTTTTGCGCTATGAGGAGCGGCTTAAGGAGCTGGGCATGTTTAGCCTGAAGAAGAGAAGGCTGAGAGGAGATATGATAGCCATGTATAAATATGTGAGAGGAAGTCACAGGGAGGAGGGAGTGAACTTGTTTTCTGCTGCCCTGGAGACTAGGACGCAATGGAGCAATGGCTTCAAACTACAAGAAAGGAGATTCCATCTGAACATGAGTAAGAACTTCCTGACTGTGAGAGCCGTTCAGCAGTGGAACTCTCTGCCCCGGAGTGTGGTAGAGGCTTCTTCTTTGGAGGCTTTGAAACAGAGGCTGGATGGCCATCTGTCAGGGGTGATTTGAATGCAATATTCCTTCTTCTTGGCAGAATGGGGTTGGACTGGATGCCCCATGAGGTCTCTTCCTACTCTTTGATTCTATGTGTTGTAATGTGTTTTTTGGCTTTTTAAGTCTCTTCTGCTGTGCTTTTCAATGTTTTTATGAGTGATGGTCACTTGTTCGCCTGATAGGTGTATTATGTCTAAATTTGGTGTCAATTCTTCCAGTGGTTTTTGAGTTATTCTAATCCCACAAACAAACATTACATTTTTATTTATATAGATTTATATCCCACACTCTGTTTGAAGATCTTCAGGTTCCACATGATAAAACCAACCTAATGGAAGGAAACACCATTAACACAATGTCATTTTAAAAAGTTATAAACAAGTTAACAAGTTAAGCAGTCTAAGAAGTTGAAATATTTTATCAAAACTCGCCTATGCAACTGCACCTCATGTTCTCCTGTGAGGTTTGTATTCTGCCCTTCTCACCCCAAAGAGGAGTCAGAGCAGATCACAGAACTCAAATATGGAAAACATTCAATGCTGTTATACACTGACAAGACAGACAACTGTACATAGGTGTTGGAGGAAAATTCTGAGCGTGCCTTGGACCGCAAGATCCAACCAGTCCATACTTCAGGAAATAAAGCCTGACTGCTTACTGGAGGGAAGGATATTAGAGGCAAAGATGAAGTCCTTTGGCCACATCATGAGAAGACAAGAAAGCTTAGAGAAGACAACTGATGCTGGGGGAAATGGAAGGAAAAAGGAAGAGGGACCGACCAAGGGCAAGGTGGATGGATGGTATCTTTGAAGTGACTGGCTTGACTCTGAAGGAGCTGGGGGTGGCCACAGCTGACAGGGAGCTCTGGCCTGGGATGGTCCAGGAGGTCATGAAGAGTCGGAAGCTACTAAACAAATAAACAACAACAATAGGCTTTCCCATCTTCAGCATCTTGTGAGTTTTCAGGCTGTATGGCCATGTTCCAGAAGCATTCTCTCCTGACGTAGATGTGGGCAAAACTTCAGGAGAGAATCATAGAATCATAAAATCATAGAATAAAAGAGTTGGAAGAGACCTCATGGGCCATCCAGTCCAACCCCCTGCCAAGAAGCAGGAATGTTGCATTCAAATCACCCCTGACAGATGGCCAAAGAAGGAGCCTCTACCACACTCTGGGGCAGAGAGTTCCACTGCTGAACGGCTCTCACAGTCAGGAAGTTCTTCCTCGTGTTCAGATGGAATCTCCTCTCTTGTAGTTTGAAGCCATTGTTTCGCGTTCTAGTGTCCAGGGAAGCAGAAAACAAGCTTGCTTCCTCCTCCCTGTGGCTTCCTCTCACATATTTATATATGGCTATCATATCTCCTCTCAGCCTTCTCTTCTTAGGCTAAACATGCCCAGCTCCTTAAGCCGCTCCTCATAGGGCTTGTTCTCCAGACCCTTGATCATTTTAGTCGCCCTCCTCTGGGCCCATTCCAGCTTGTCAATATCTCTCTTGAATTGTGGTGCCCTGAATTGGACACAATATTCCCGAAACATGGCCAGACAGCGCGGAAAACTCACAGCAACCCATTGCATTATTATTCTCAAACACTGAATTATTATTCTCAAACATTTCACTAGGGGTTGCTTGTAACCATGTTCCAGAAGCATTCTATCCTGACGTTTTGCCCACATCTATGGCAGGCACCCTCAGAGGTTGAGGAATCTCTTGGAAACTAGTCAAGTCAGGTTTATGTATCTGAGGGTGCCTACCATAGGTGTGGGCGAAACATCAGGAGAGAATGCTTCTGGAAACATAGCCGGACAGCCTGGAAAACTCACAGCAACTCATTGCATTATTATTCTCAAACATTTCATTGTTATTCTCAAACATTTTGTTATGGGTTGCTGTGAGTTTTCCAGGCTGTATGGCCATGTTCCAGAAGCATTCTCTCCTGACGTTTCACCCACATCTATGGCAGGCATCCTCAGAGGTTGTGGGTGAAACGTCAAGTGTGGTTTATATATGGGTGCCTGCCATAGGTGTGGGTGAAACGTCAGGAGAGAATGCTTCTGGAACATAGCCAGTCAACCTGAAAAACTCACAACAACCCATTGCATTATTATTCCCAAACATTTCGTTATGGGTCCTCAGAGGTTGAGGGGGTCTGTTGGAAACTAGTCAAGTGTGGTTTATATATCTGAGGGTGCCTCAACTCAACTTCTGAGGACCCCTCAACTTCTGAGGACCCATAACGAAATGTTTGGGAATAATAATGCAATGGGTTGTTGTGAGTTTTTCAGGTTAACTGGCCATGTTCAAGAAGCATTCTCTCCTGATGTTTCGCCCACATCTATGGCAGGCACCCTCAGAGGTTGGAAACTAGGCAAGTAGGGTTCATATATCTGAGGATGCCTGCTATGGATTTGGGTGAAACGTCAGGAGAGAATGCTTCTGGAAACATAGCCAGACACCCCGGCTATATTTCCAGAAGCATTCTCTCCTGACGTTTCGCCCACATCTATGACAAGCATCCCCTGAGGTTGGAAACTAGTCAAGTGTGGTTTATATATCTTAGGGTGCCTGCCATAGGTGTGGGCGAAACGTCAGGAGAGAATGCTTCTGGAAATATAGCCGGGCTGTCCGGCTATTTTTCCAGAAGCATTCTCTCTTGATGTTTCGGCCAAATCCATGGCAGTCATCCTCAGAGGTATGAACCCTACTTGCCTAGTTTCCAACCTCAGGGGATGCTTATCATAGATGTGGCCGAAACGTCAGGAGAGAATGCTTCTGGAAGCATAGCCGGACAGCCCGGAAAACTCACAGCAACCCATTGCATTATTATTCTCAAACACTGAATTATTATTCTCAAACATTTCATTATGGGTTGCTGTGAGTTTTCCAGGCTGTCTGGCCATGTTCAAGAAGCATTCTCTCCTGACGTTTCGCCCACATCTATGGCAGGCACCCTCAGAGGTTGAGGGGTCTGTTGGAAACTAGTCAAGTGTGGTTTATATATCTGAGGGTGCTTGCCATAGATGTGGACGAAACGTCAGGAGAGAATGCTTCTGAAAACATAGCCGGACAGCTCTGAAAACTCACAGCAACCCATTGCATTATTATTCCCAAACATTTCGTTATGGGTCTTCAGAGGTTGAGGGGTCTGTTGGAAACTAGTCAAGTGTGGTTTACATATCTGAGGTGTGGGCGAAATGTCAGGAGAGAATGCTTCTGAAAACATAGCCCGACAGCTCTGAAAACTCACAGCAACCCATTGCATGATTATTCCCAAACATTTCGTTATGGGTCTTCAGAGGTTGAGGGGTCTGTTGGAAACTAGTCAAGTGTGGTTTACATATCTGAGGTGTGGGCGAAATGTCAGGAGAGAATGCTTCTGAAAACATAGCCGGACAGCTCTGAAAACTCACAGCAACCCATTGCATTATTATTCCCAAACATTTCGTTATGGGTCTTCAGAGGTTGAGGGGTCTGTTGGAAACTAGTCAAGAGTGGTTTATATATCTGAGGTGTGGGCGAAATGTCAGGAGAGAATGCTTCTGAAAACATAGCCGGACAGCTCTGAAAACTCACAGCAACCCATTGCATTATTATTCCCAAACATTTCGTTATGGGTCTTCAGAGGTTGAGGGGTCTGTTGGAAACTAGTCAAGAGTGGTTTATATATCTGAGGTGTGGGCGAAATGTCAGGAGAGAACGCTTCTGAAAACATAGCCGGACAGCTCTGAAAATTCACAGCAACCCATTGCATTATTATTCCCAAACATTTCGTTATGGGTCTTCAGAGGTTGAGGGGTCTGTTGGAAACTAGTCAAGTGTGGTTTACATATCTGAGGTGTGGGCGAAATGTCAGGAGAGAATGCTTCTGAAAACATAGCCGGACAGCTCTGAAAACTCACAGCAACCCATTGCATTATTATTCCCAAACATTTCGTTATGGGTCTTCAGAGGTTGAGGGGTCTGTTGGAAACTAGTCAAGTGTGGTTTACATATCTGAGGTGTGGGCGAAATGTCAGGAGAGAATGCTTCTGAAAACATAGCCGGACAGCTCTGAAAACTCACAGCAACCCATTGCATTATTATTCCCAAACATTTCGTTATGGGTCTTCAGAGGTTGAGGGGTCTGTTGGAAACTAGTCAAGAGTGGTTTATATATCTGAGGTGTGGGCGAAATGTCAGGAGAGAATGCTTCTGAAAACATAGCCGGACAGCTCTGAAAACTCACAGCAACCCATTGCATTATTATTCCCAAACTCGTATGTGTGTGTGTGTTTTTTTAAATGTATCCCTTTCCCTTTGATGTGTTTGCAACAATGTCCTCCCAGCCTTGTTTGCTGTGGTTTCAATGTTGCAAAGGGAAGCCCTGTGAATCCACCGGCGAGGAAGAAGCTTGGGTCAAGCCAGGCGACAGGGCTGAGGCTGGGCTGCTTTGCAAGGGGAGAAAGGGGGCCAAGAAGGGGGGGAGGAGGAGGAGGAGGAGGAAGAGTGGGCGGGGCCTTCCCGGGAGTGTGACGTGCCCCGAATGGGCTGCTCTGCGTGGCGGAGCCCCGCCCCACGCGCGTTTCTCAGGCGGGGGTGGCTGGCTGAGCTGAGCTGGGCTGGGGGGGAAGGAGGGAAGGAGGGAGGGAGAGAGAGAGGCAGGCAAGCAAGCAAGCAAGCAAGGAGGGCGCTTGAGCTCCGCTAAGCCGAGCTGATCCCACGTGTGGACGGGTCTGCCTGGCTCCTTCCTTCCTTCCTTCCTTTCAGATAGGGCAGAGGAAGGGGTGCGACGCTGATTGAGGAGCAAAGGGGTGAAAGCAGAAGGAAGGAAGAGGAGAGAAGAAAGGAAAGAAAGGGGGGACTCCAGGAGGAGGAGGAGGAGGAAGAGGGTGGGAGAGGGGTTGCCTGCTCTTGAGAGAGAGAGTGAGAAAGAGAAAGAGAGAGAAGAGCTTCTTCCTTTCTCTCTCTCTTTCTTTCTCTCTTTCCTTCTTGGTCACAGAGCCATGGAGGCGGAGGGGAGCCAAGCCATGTCCGGCCCCCCTAACGACTCTCAGCACGACCCTGGGTAAGTAAGTTTGGGGGCGAGGCAGTCCCACTCGTGCCTGCCCTCCACGCGTGGGGAGCCCCCCCCCCCCTTTGGCCTTTAGTTACTCACCTGGCTCTTGGAGGGACAGAGAGAAGGAGGGAGATGATCAGCCTCCTCTCTCTTTCTCTCTCTGTTTTGATTTCCTTCTCCATCCATCTCCTTCCTCTCTTTCTTTCTCCCTCTCTCTCTCTCTTCTTTGCCTCCTCCTCTTCCTCAACCCCCCCTTTTGCCCCCCTCCCTCTCCCTCTCTCCTTTTCCTTGTAGCTTTTGCAAGTTACACGTCAAAATGGCCGATCTGACATCTGGGCTTAACTCTGTTCTGTTTTCTCCTTCCAGCAAAATGTTTATTGGCGGCTTGAGTTGGCAAACCTCACCAGGTGAGTCTAGAGAAGGGGAGGGGGGGCTCTTGTGGGTGTGTGTGTGTGTGTGTGTGAATCAGGTGTGAATAACATGAGGAGGGGGCGCTGCTATCCTCTCCCACTCCCCTCCCTCCACCATCCCCTTCCCAGCCTTGCCTCCTTTGATGGGTCTTTGTTGTCATCATCCCAGGTCAGTTTGCCTTGGGGTTTGCCCCCCCTCTTCCTTCTCTCCGTCCCCCCCACCCCTACCCTTGCGCACCCCAAGGCACATGGCAGATCCTTTATGTGCTCCAAATAACAGATCTGCTTCTCCGAGTCCTCTATTCGACCTTACATTTGCCTGTGCGCACTTTTGGGGGGGTTGGCGGCGGCGCACTGGGTGGAAGGGGGAGACGCAAGGAGGGTCTCTCTCTCTCTCTCTCTCGGTCCCCATCACCCCTTCCTTCCTTCCTTCCTTCCTTCCGTCCTCTCCTTGCCTTTCAAAGAGACACAAAAACATCATCTCTTTCCCCCCCTTAATACTTATAATAATAAACTTTATTTATACCCGCCACCGTCTCCCCTAAAGGAGGGTCTCTCTGTCCTCCTGCCCCTTCTTTCCTCACCTTTCAAAGAGACACAAAAACACCACTTTTTATTCCCCCCCAGCAGCCTTTAATAATAATACTAATACTAATAATACTAAAACTTTATTTATATCCACCACCGTCTCCCCTAAAGGAGGGTCTCTCTGTCCTCCTCGCCCCTTCTTTCCTTGTCTTTCAAAGAGACACAAAAACACCACTTTTTATCCCCCCCCCAACAGCCCTTAATACTAATAATAAACTTTATTTATACCCGCCACCATCTCCCCTAAAAGAGGATCCCTCTGTCCTCATCACCCCTTGCCTTTCACACAAAAACACGACTTTTTATTTCCCCCCAAAGCAGCCTTTAATAATAATAATAATAATAATAATAATAATAATCTTTATTTATTTCCACCACCGTCTCCCCTAAAGGAGGATCCCTCTGTCCTCATCGCCCCTTCTTTCCTTGTCTTTCAGAGAGACACAAAAACACCACCTTTTATCCCCCCCCCAAGCAGCCCTTAATAATACTAATACTAATAAACTTTATTTATACCTGCCACCATCTCCCCTAAAGGAGGATCCCTCTGTCCTCATCGCCTCTTCTCTTTCACACAAAAACACGACTTTTTATTCAGCCCTTAATACTAATAATACTAATATTAATAAACTTTATTTATACCCACCACCATCTCCTCTAAAGGAGGATCCCTCTGTCCTCATCGCTCCTTGTCTTTCACACAAAAACACCACTTTTTATCCCTCCCCCAAACAGCCCTTAATACTAATACTAATAGACTTTATTTATACCCACCACCATCTCCCCTTCTGTCCTTTCCTTGTCTTTCAAAGAGACAGAAAAACATGACTTTTTATTCCCCCAAGCAGCCCTTAATACTAATAATACTAATACTAATAAACTTTATTTATACCCGCCACCGTCTCCCCTAAAGGAAGGTCTCTCTGTCCTCATCGCCTCTTCTTTCCTTGTCTTTCAGAGAGACACAAAAACACCACTTTTTATTCCCCCCCACAAAGCAGTCCTTAATACTACTACTACTATTACTAATAAACTTTATTTATACCTCACCACCATCTCCCATAATAATAATTATTGTTATTATTTATTCCCTGCCACCATCTCCCTTAATAATAATAATAATAATACCATTAATATTAATAATAATCTTTATTTGTACCCGCCACCATCTCCCCTAATAGCAATACTAATTAACTTTAACAGAAATGGAAACGGTTGGGATGGACACAAAGCATGACACTGTCATTGTCATGTCTCTGCTTTCGTAATTTTACGTTTTAAGGTTTATATTGGAAAGTGTTTATAAAGTTAGTATATTATTGATGGCATGGCCTATGGCTAGTACAATAAACAATTCATTCATTTGACTTTATGTATACTTCACCACCATATCCAATAATAATAATAATCTTTATTTATTCCCTACCAACATCTCCCCTAATAATAATAATAATAATAATAATAATAATAATAATAGTAATACTAGTAATACTAATAATAAAAAACTTTATTTATACCTGCCACCATCTCCCCTAATAATAAAAATATTAATAATAAATTTTATTTATACCTCACCACCATCTCCCATAATAATACTAGTAATAATAATAATAAACTTTATTTATACCCACCACCATCTCCCCTTCTGTCCTTTCCTTGTCTTTCAAAGAGACACAAAAACACCACTTTTTATTCCCCCCAAGCAGCCCTTAATAATAATAATACTATGAATAATAATAACCTTTATTTCTATCCCACCACTATCTCCTCTAACAACAACAACAGCAATCATAATAAACTTTATTCCCTCCTGACGTTTTGTCCACATCTATGACAGGCATCCTCAGAGGTTGAGGGGTCTGTTGGAAACTAAGTAAGTGAGGATTATATATCTGTGGAATAATAAACTTTATTTATGCCCTGCCACCATCTCCCCCAATAATAATAATAATAATAATAATAATAATAAACTTTGTTCATACCCCACCACCATCTTCCCTAATAATAATACTACTACTAATATACTTTATTTATACCTCCTGCCATCTCACCCAGTAGTAATACTAATAATAATAAACTTTATACCTCCTACCGTCTTACCTAATAATACTAATAATCTTTATATCCTGCCACCATCTCCCCTAATAATAATGATAAACTTTGTTCATACCCCACCACCATCTCTCCTAATACTACTACTACTAATAATAAATAAATTTTATTAGTAGTAGTAGTAGTATTAGGGGAGATGGTGGTTTGGCATAAATAAAGTTTATTATTAGTAGTAGTATTATTGGACAAGATGCTAGGAGGTGTAACGTTTATTATTATTAGTAGTATTAGTATTGGGTGAGATGGGAGGAGGCATAAATAAAGTTTATTATTATTAGTAGTAATATTAGGGGAGATGGTGATGGGGTATAAATAAAGTTTATTAGTAGTATTATTATTGGGAAGATGCTAGGAGGTGTAATGTTTATTATTATTATTAGTATTAGAATTGGGTGAGATGGGAGGAGGTATAAAGAAAGTATTATTATTAGTAGTAGTATTAGGGGAGATGGTGGTGGGGCATAAATAAAGTTTATTAGTAGTAGTAGTATTATTGGGAAAGATGCTAGGAGGTGTAACGTTTATTATTATTATTATTATTAGTATTAGTATTGGGTGAGATGGGAGGAGATATAAATAAAGTTTATTAGTAGTAGTAGTAGTAGTATTAGGGGAGATGGTGGTGGGGCATAAATAAAGTTTATTAGTAGTAGTAGTAGTATTGGGAAAGATGCTAGGAGGTGTAACGTTTATTATTATTATTAGTATTAGTATTGGGTGAGATGGGAGTAGGTATAAATAAATATTATTATTAATATTAGTAGTATTAGGGGAAATGGTGGTGGGGCATAAATAAAGTTTATTATTAGTAGTATTATTATTGGGCAAGATGCTAGGAGGTGTAACGTTTATTATTATTATTAGTATTAGTATTGGGTGAGATGGGAGGAGGTATAAATAAAGTTAATACCTCCTACCATCTCACCCAATAGTAATACTAATAATAATAAACTTTGCACCTCCTACCATCTTACCTAATAATAACAAACTTTATTTATACCTCACCACCATCTCCTCTAATAATAATAATGATAATAATAGTAATAAACTTTATTTATATCCTGCCACCATCTTCCCATTAATAATAATAATAATAATAATAATAATAATAATAATAATGGTTATAAGGGACTCGCGGCGGCTCACAGAAGCACTCCAAGTGCCCTTCCTTAGCACACATGATCAAAAATAATATTATCGATCTATTTTTACTTCTTTCGTGCCCCATTTTTTCTCTTACTCGCTTCTTTCCCTCTTTACAGATAACCTTAGAGATTATTTTAGCAAATTTGGAGACATCCGAGAATGTATGGTCATGCGAGACCCGACCACCAAGCGCTCCAGGTAAACAGATCCCTTTGTCTTTTTGAATCAAAGTTCATATAGAACAGGCATGGGCCAACTTCGGCCCTCCAGGTGTTTTGGACTTCAACTCCCACAATTCCTAACAGCCGGTAAGCTGTTAGGAATTGTGGGAGTTGAAGTCCAAAACACCTGGAGGGCCAAAGTTGGCCTATGCCTGATATGGACCCCCCTTCTAGTGTTTATATATTTCTATATTTCATTGAATTATGCTCAACAGAGTCAACACAAGATATCTTTTGGAGGAGATATATATATAATTATATATTTATACATAAAGTTTGAGACAACTTCTGTTTTTGGAAGTTCCGTGTCTTGTTCATTTCTGTTCTTAGGAATCTTATCTCTTCGTTTCCTCCCCCAAACTTGCTACCGTTGGATTTGCAAGGATTTGGGCTTCTTTCAACCAACCCTCCTTGTAAATATCCTCCACCAAATAGAGATTTCTGGACGAAACAAAGCAGGGATTGAACGCGGAAGGATAGGAGGGGAAGTCGGGGAAAAAAGGGTTAATTTAAAAAATACATTCATGGTTTGGTTCCCATCTTTTTGGACCATGTTTAGTCATTGTTTTGATAGCGAAGGTTGAAAAAAAAGCCAGGAGGAAGCTCTGCACCTTCGTATTTTTGCCGCTTCTGACTTTCCGCTTCGAAAACGACCCCAAAACACCAGCTCTTGTTCTTTGTCTCCTTTCAGGGGGTTCGGTTTCGTTACCTTTGCGGATCCGGCAAGTGTAGATAAAGTATTAGCTCAACCCCACCACGAATTAGATTCCAAGACGGTAAGTTATATGATGTGGCATTGATGTTTGGGAGTGAGTGCGTTGAATGTCTCCTTTATTTCCTGCAATATTATGACCGTGACAGGCTTATTTAAAGAGACAGTCACCCTCCCCTCCCCTAGCTGGGTCTGCTTAAGATATACGAGAGGTGGGGGACTCCTTCAATTTTTACTACCATGACGGAACTTTTGCTTTGTGTAACTTTAAAAATAGTTTAATGTTGTTTCCTTAAGTAACCCCTGGGCCATTTAAATATTAAACTCGGTTCAGTGTGCATCTATCTGCCAATTGCTGCTTAAGCCACTTAGCTTGATAAACAATGCTTCAATGCCCCAAGTATGTGTGTTTATACGAGGGTGGGTCAAAAAGTTTTGCCTCCTGGGTCATAAAAACGTTATGAATGAACCTAGAACAGCAGAAGTCGCTCCAGATCATAGCCTGAACTGCCCTCTACACAAAACTACTGTTCAACATAGTCGCCATCAATTTGTACACAGGGTTGTTGTAGGTTTTTTGGGCTATGTGGCCATGTTCTAGAGGCAATCTCTCCTGACGTTTCGCCTGCATCTATGGCAAGCATCCTCACCTCTGAGGATGCTTGCCATAGATGCAGGCGAAACGTCAGGGAGAAATAAAGATTATTATTGTTGTTGTAGGTTTTTTCGGGCTATAAATAAAGTTTATTATTATTAGTATCATCTCTGAGGATGTTTGCCATAGATGCAGGCGAAACGTCAGGGAGAAATAAAGATTATTATTGTTKTTGTTGTTGTTAGAGGAGATAGTGGTGRGATATAAATAAAGTTGGATTGTTGTAGGTTTTTTCGGGCCATAAATAAAGTTTATTATTATTAGTATCACCTCTGAGGATGCTTGCCATAGATGCAGGCAAAACGTCAGGGAGAAATAAAGATTATTATTGTTGTTATAGGTTTTTTCGGGCTATAGATAATGTTTATTATTAGTGTCACCTCTGAGGATGCTTGCCATAGATGCAGGTGAAACATTAGGAAGAAATAAATATTATTATTATTGTTGTTGGTAGGGGAGATAGTAGTGGGATATAAATAAAGTTGGGTTGTTGTGGGTTTTTTTGGGTTATAAATAAAGTTTATTATTATTAGTATCACATTATTATTAGTATCACCTCTGAGGATGCTTGCCATAGATGCAGGTGAAACGTCAGGGAGAAATAAAGATTATTATTGTTGTTGTAGGTTTTTTTCGGGCTATAAATAAAGTTTATTATTATTAGTATCACCTCTGAGGATGTTTGCCATAGATGCAGGTGAAACGTCAGGAGAGAATGCCTCTAGAACATGGCCGTATAGCCCAAAAAACCTACAACAACCCAGTGATTCCAGCCATGAAAGCCTTCGACAATACATTGAATTTGTACACATTTGCACCATCGTTTAACCTAGGCATATTTATTCATTATTATTTTTGTATCAAAAGCATTGCATAAATTAATATAAAACTGATAAAAAATAGAAGGCGCGCAGGTGGCTAAATATCTTTTGACCAAAAACGGGCAACAGCAACGGCATTGTCTGTTTTTTATTTTGTTTTGTTTTTTTTGTCGTGGTAGCAGCGACTTGAGAAACTGCAAGTTGTTTCTGGTGTGAGAGAATTGGCCGTCAGCAAGGACGTTGCCCAGGGGACGCCTGGATGTTTTTGATGTTTTACCATCCTTGTGGGAGGCTTTGAATGCAATATTCCTGCTTCTTGGCAGGGAGTTGGACTGGATGGCAGGGGGTTGGACTCTTCCAACTCTATGATTCTATGATTCTCTCATGTCCCCGCATGAGAAGCTGGAGCTGACAGAGGGAGCTCATCCGCTCTTTCCCCGGATTCGAACCTACGACCTGTCAGTCTTTAGTCCTGCTGGCACAGGGGTTTAACGCACTGCGCCACCGGGGGCTCCTGGCATTGTCTGTAGCCTCCGATTCCTCCTCTGTACGTGAGGCAGGGCACAGTGGACAAGCATACAGATGTGGAGAACAGACAGACAACCTAGGCATTGAAACCAGTTTTGGAAAAATTCAGTGTTTTGCTTCATGACCCATGATGTTAAAGCTGTTTTAATGTCATTCAAGTCATTGAATCTGAAACCACGTAGGTTGTCTTTCAGAGGTCCAAACAGAAGGGGCCAAGTCATAAACATCCCTCAAGCAATGTTGGATTTCCTTCTTTTTCCAAAAATTCAATGACAACTTTTTCTTTGAGCATCAGATTCATGGTTCTAGTCAGTCAATCGGACAAAGAAAAGACTAGATCAGTAGAGTAAGGTTCCCTCTATCATATCTTGCATAGATAGTCTAGTAGCTGTGAAAGAAATAAAAGTTAGAGCAATGGAGGCGTTACTTTTTGATCCACCTTCATCTATATGTGTGTGTCGGTCAGAAGAGGGTTTTTCTAATACAGAAGAAAATTGCTTTTCCCCAGATTAAATAATAATAATAATATGAGGAAAAGTAGCATTTTTCTGAGTATGCATTAAAGGTAGTCTTTGGTTGTGCTTTTCCTTGTTTTGCCCTTTTGTGGGGCGGGAGAAAGAGAGCTTCTTTTTGCAACGAGCCGTAAAGCGTTGTCCTGAGATGACATAGCTAGTATATGGGGGAAAGATACCTGAGATACGGTAGAGGTAGAATCGTAGTCAAAGGATATTCAAAGTCATTCTGATGTATTGGGCTGAAAAATTAAAGGAGAGTTTGATCTGGAAAGCTCCTCAATTTCCAGATCTAACTCTGCAAAGGGATGCTCATATCCTACCAAAGTTAACTTCTTTGGTGAGTTTTGCACAGACATAGGATTAAAAGTAAAGGTCACCAACGTGTTAGATGTTTTTGTGGGGTTGGTGGCAGGATGAAGTTGCTGTTGTTGTTTAGAAGGGAGGAGCCTGATTGCTACAACTGTGGTGCATACCATTCAGCAGTGGAACTCTCTGCCCCGGAGTGTGGTGGAGGCTCCTTCTTTGGAAGCTTTTTAACAGAGGCTGGATGTCCATCTGTCAGGGGTGATTTGAATGCAATATTCCTGCTTCTTGGCATAATGGGGTTGGACTGGATGGCCCATGAGGTCTCTTCCAACTCTTTGATTCTATGATTCTACCGATTCAGATCTAGAATTATTTAGTTTTAATATGGGTATTAAGAGGAGACACAATGGGTTAAACCTAGCACCTGCAGGACTGCTGACCGAAAGGTCGAAGGTTTGAATCCAGGGATCGGGGTGAGCTCCTGTCTGTCAGCTCCAACTTGACTGAGAGAAGCCTCCCAGAGGATAGTAAAACATCCAGGCATCCCTGGGCAACGTCCTTGTAGGCAGCCAATTCTCACGTCAGTTTCTCAAGCCACTTCCCACACGGAAAAAAAATATGAGTATAAATGAAATAATTATAGATTTGAATCTATATACTGTGAGAGCCGTTCAGCAGTGGAACTCTCTGCCCTGGAGTGTGGTGGAGGCTCCTTCTTTGGAAGCTTTTAAACCGAGGCTGGATGGCCATCTGTCAGGGGTGCTTTGAATGCAATATTCCTGCTTCTTGGCAGAAAGGGGTTGGACTGGATGGCCCTTGAGGTCTGTTCCAACTCTATGATTCTATGAATCAGCATGCATTATTTAGTTTTAATTATTTAGTTTTAATATTGTTATGGTGGTTCATATAAAGGGGCTGCGGTGGCCCAGTGGGTTAAACTACTGAGCTGTTGAAGTTGCTGACGGAAAAGTTGGCAGTTTGAATCCGCGGAGTGGGGTGAGCTCCTGTTGTTAGCCCCAGCTTCTGCCAACCTAGCAGTTCGAAAACATGCAAATGTGAGTAGATCATTGAAGGAGCCCCCGGTGGCGCAGTGGCTTAAAGCCCTGTGCCGGCAGGACTGAAGACCGACAGGTCGCAGGTTCGAATCCGGGGAGAGGCGGATGAGCTCCCTCTATCAGCTCCAGCTCCTCATGCAAAGGGGACATGGGAGAAGCCTCCCACAAGGATGATAAAAACATCAAATCATCCGGGCGTCTCCTGGGCAACGTTCTTGCAGACGGCCAATTCTCTCACACCAGAAGCGACTTGCAGTTTCTCAAGTCGCTCCTGACACGACAAATAAAAATGCTGGCCACATGACCTTGGAGGCATCTACGGACAACACCGGCTCTTCAATTTACCTGTGGAGATGAGCACCACCCCACAGAGTTGGATTCAACTATACTTAATGTCAAGGGGAAACTTTTACCTTTATTGTGGTTGATATATATATATATATAGAGAGAGAGAGGGAAAGAAAGAGAATGCATGGTTCCAGTTTGTGGTGTCAATAAGTCCCCTTTCCTGGAAGATTTGGGGAGATTGTGCTCTGTTCTTAATCAAGATCTTTTTTGTAATTCACATGCTCTTTAAGAAACAAATCGGATTTTAATTTCCACCCATGTCCTTGTATGCAGGTGGATTTTTCCCCCAAGTTCTAATAAGTTTTTGTACAAATCCGATGGGCTTGTCTGAGCATGTTACCCAAGCTCAAACATTCCTTAATTATTTGGTTGGATACTGGGGCGGCGAGGCTAGAAGGCCGGCGGGTCATAAGGTAATAAGATTCAGATGTGCTCCGGAGAAGTCAAGCTTTACCGCCCTGAGTCCCTTCGGAGAGAGAGGGCAGGTTATAAATAAATTAGTATGTATTGTCGAAGGCTTTCATGACCGGAATTGCTGGGTTGTTGTGAGGTTTTCTGGGCTGTATGACCATGTTCCAGAAGCATTCTCTCCTGATGTTTGCCTGCATCTATGGCAGACATCCTCAGAGGTCGGACCTCACAACCTCTTGAGGATGCCTGCCATACATGCGGGCAAAACGTCAGGAGAGAATGCTTCTGGAACATAGCCATACAGCTTGGAAAACTCACAACAACCCCTATTATTATTATTATTATTATTATTATTATTATTATTATTATTTAAAGTTAAAGTCATTTCTGGCAGGGGAAGCCCTCTTTGCTGCATTGAATGTGGC